GCGCTCTTTCGAAAACATCATAATATCAATTCAACGTACGAGTCCCTCTTGGTTCCACCTTCAATCCTGTAGTCCCGGGGATTGCAAATAATGTCTTTATCCGCAAATGTATGCTAGCCCATGCAGCATCAAGTGCGTTTCAGTCATTTATTCCAGCAAGGACCAGATCGCGACTGTCGTCAAGAATTCGCTTGCTTTCCTTTCACCTCGTGTGACATCAAGGGAGGGGAGAGGGGGGGGGGGGGGGTACCCTGTCCATTCATCAGGAACTTAATTTCGACAACCATGAGTCTTTCATGTGCTGTGTGACGCAATTCGACTGAGTTTTAAAAAAAAAGATCTTCAAAGCGCTTCACACCTGTAACTTAATATTCTGTGTACTTATAATGAAGAATTAGAACTATAATATTCCATTTTAAGTATGACCTTGCTAGTTCAGTCGCATGTTTCGATCATACACTATGAAACTGGTCTCTAAATTCTCATTCTTACAATTATTGACAATTGAATCTTGATACTTCTGATAATGAGTTCACCCCAAAGTCGTATGTTTCGGGGCACAACTGCGCCAGGCCCATCGAAAATAATATTCATTTCTATCGAATAACTGAAATTCCATCATGGCGCCACGCGCACGGAGATAGGGCTCTCATTACCAAATTTTATTTTTCTGGCATATTTCGATGCTGATAAACATCAGGTGAAATGAGAGAAACAAACGGGTCGAGCTGGAGAAGAGGACTGAAACCTGAGCAAAACTAGATCCCAAATTATAGCCCCCGAGTGTCAGAGGTTGAACATTTTCTTCTCCATTTCTAATTCATAGTCTGGAGGAGTTCACGTGAATTCATTAGTTTCCTTGATCCTCTTTGCCAATATTTCTGGGTTTGGAACAATCTATTTTTGTACTACAGTCATGTAGGGCAAACTATTCTTAGATAATATTGATAACCTTTCGTCTTAAGAAACGCCTTTTAAATATTTTATTCATTTCGAGTCATTCCACGAGGAAATGGGAATGTACTGGGTTTTTTTAATAGTCGTTGTTATGAAGTTGCACTGGGTTAGGTACAAACCTAGGGCATTTGTTAACGTCGAGCTCATTAATTTTATCACCTGAATCGCAGGAGATAAGATATCACACATTCAGACTGTGTTTATTATGATTCTGAGGCGTCCTCAAGATACCCATCAGTCAATGACCCGCTAATGAGCTGGTCACTTTATTTGGACGAAGAAGTTACCAGCAACTTCTTGTTTGGACTCACTGTAGAATATCTATGGTCCAACCTTATTTTCGAGCAAAGGGCTGTCCTTCTCCAGCGGTGTCCATTGCAAGTGATCCCCGCTGATCGCGAGGGTGATCGCCCACCGCTCGCCGAGGATCACCGCTGAGCGCGTCCCCAACCCAACACCGTCTTCGAGGTCTGGATAAACATTCTTCTATTTTCAGCTGGGGCGAGGAAACCTTTGTCCTGCCGAGTCGAAATTGTGAAGACTGCGGGCGTGTTCCCTTATTTTTGTCACCAATTTCTGAGATTAGATTACATTTCAATTTATATCTTCCATTTTGTTTTTGCGGGGAAAAGTGAATGAAGAACACGCCCTGCATAAATTCAACTGCTTGGAATACTCCTGCGAGATTGAAATATCAGAAAACCCCAGAACTATGAATGGCATCTTTTATGAATTAATGACTACTTCTCTTAAAATGTCCATAAACAACCTAGCTATTGCCAAACTTCAAATTTTGGGAAATATTATGACCAAAGTTGTATACTATAACCACTTTCCAAATAATTAGACGTATGCTAATTTTTGAAGAACAGAACATAAGATGGGCCCTGTCACTTACAATAAATACTATCAGCATCTTCTCGATCTTTCATGAGAAGGAAAAGACATGTATTTGACCTTCTAATCTTGCTCTCAGTACGACGAGCTTATCCCCCACTCGATCTCCCAATAACTTGGCAATTTCCATTATGCCCTTATCCCCCTTGTCAGACGATCCTACCAAGTGTATCACCCCAAGGGGGTCCGATCTTACCCCCTTTGACCCTCCCCGCTTGAACTTTGTTCTCGAGAGGACTCGTTGAGAGTGTCAATCAATTTCAAATATGCCCATCAATATTTATCCACCGTACACAGGTCCATCGTTCACTGCATGGGCTATCCATGTTTCGATTGATGACGTTGACATCTTCTGTGAACCTTTGAAAGGTGAAATGTCTGAATATTCATGAATAAAGTTACGTGTTTTAAATTGACTGAAATTTGTTCGAGTATGACCTTGTAATTGAAATGGTATTGATTTAAATGCAGTAAATTAATTAAGCATAACAAGTGAACTTGTGTTGTAGAGACTAGAGTAATAATAGAAGATGGAGTAGTTATACATTCGAAACAAAGATTTAGTTGAGGGGTTAGGCCTACCCTATTTATAGCTAGTTGTTTCTTCAAATCATGTGTCCTTTGATTATACTATTAGAATGCAAATTCAGAAAGTTTGGAAGGGTTATGAATTTTCCAAATTGTGATAACACGCCTGCGTAAATACCATTGATGACACAGCGTATCGTAATTCCATATCTTGGGATTGCCACCTGCACATCTGCAGTGTGATTGGTGTGGCACTCGTCTTGGTGATTCCCACCCCAACCCCCATAAATAGTACCTCCAGCCGCCGTTATTTTATTAAATAACTGTAACATCACTGTAGGTGCATGGGAGCTGCAGACAATCGGCTGCCTGCAAGAAGGCCATTACAGCTATGTATCGTCCATGACAGTAACGACCTTCTTGTGGCCAGTTGACGCGCTGCTACACCATGTTCCCCCATTCATGAGCAATTAGATCATTATTGTCATCACGTTTTTAACACCACTCCTACTCATCGTCAACTTCAAGTCCTATCCTGGTGTTGTCTGGTCCTCTATCCCACGCGCACTCTGTTATGATTGTTCATGCTCCCGTGAGTCTTTTCAGGTGATTTCGATGGAAAGCGGTATTTTGAAGATCAAGATCTAGAGTATTTTAATTAAGGGGTCCGACATGGACTAGTCTTTAGCTCCTGTCCCGGGTGAATAAGAAACATAATAATCAAATGGGGCTTGTTTCTTTATTAAAAATATTTATAAAAACAGTGAACATGGCTGATGAATAGTCTCTAAACCCCAACCGTGTTGCGTGAACTGTGGTGATCAATCTGCGACCTGTGTAAAACAAAAATATAAAATAATGAAAATGGAGCTTTTTCGCACAAAATTATTTGTCTTTTTAAAAAATGGACATATTTCAGAATACATAACATCCAAACTCATAATAAATATTATTAATTGGCCTCTCATAATCTCAGTATTATCATGAGCATTATATATTTTGCCTTTATTTTGTTGTGTTTATAATCAAGACTATGTGCCCCTTTTCCATTATTTGGTACATTTCGACTTCTGTAATCCGATACTAATATCTCTTGAGATTATACCCTTCTTGGAAGGACCACATCTTGACCTATCAAACCCTAATCCCCTGAACAGCTTTAATCCTCCCCAATCCTCTTTTAATCCACTCAAAGACTAATCAACGTTCACCTTACAGACCTCCTTTCAGTATCTTCCTTCCTATACCCCAGCACTTGTAAAGAAAGCACATTGCTGATCGCGACTCCTTAATTTAACTTGAGCCCAACTAATTTCCTTACGATGCTAAGGTATTGCTTCCGTATCTTTTGTCTGATGGAATACTCGATGGTTTCCGTCAGTTTAATTAATTGGTCATTAATTCGCATCTGCTGACTACTTCATTTCCAGTGTGTCAAAATCTAACGAGACTATGACAAGACTAACAATTGGATAATTAATTGAGATATGCAGTGAGATATGTCTGCACAATTATACGTCATGAATATTTATTTGTAGCTGAACGATATCCTTCACTTTCATTGATGTTTATTATTTTATGACCGATTACGTTTTGAGCGTCTGTTGAACACGAACATGGATGCCATTGTTAATATAGATTTTAAGATAATAAATCTGAAATATGATTGAAAATGTTATCAGGTGTCCAAATCTCTCTCATTTGGGCAGATTTTGCAATTAATAAGTTTGATTCATGCCTTGCGTGAAAAATATGGTTTCGTATTGTCATGTATCGATCTTTTGAGCGCATCACCACCGCGATCGAGGATTTTGATTTGGTGTTTCCATCTCCCAGCTAAGACCTCCAAACGTGTGGATGATGATGATAGTGAATCATGCCTGCCAATCGATCATAATTCTCTCCTTCCGTAAATCAATTTAGCGCGAACAAATTACTCCGCATGGTTCTTCTTAGCCATAACCCCTCGAGAAAGAAAACCCAGGATTTGTCTTGCACTTTTGGTTTATCGTTTAAAAGTCTGTTTATTAAAAGTAATTATCGGATGCTAGAAATTAGAGATTCTGTTTCGTCCGCACGGCCAGGGGGCTTTTTAGTTGGTGTTTTTCGTTCGTATTTTCTTGAGATTTGTATCTGGGTTTATGATTTTGTGGCTTCCCTCTCGAGTTCGATATTTTATGAGTGGCATAATATGGCGGCTGGGTTAGCCCGGTAAGGTGTGAATTACTAGACCAGCTTACTAAAGGTAGAGTAACAACAATGGTCTTGGGCTCTAGGCTTGTGTGAAAAGAACATTTCGGTGGAGTTCTGCAATAGCGATCAATAGAGAAGTGTGGTTTTGAATGGAAGGGGGCTATTGTGAGGTTGCTTTTAGTGATTGGCCTTTGCAAAGCTTGAGCCCTATAGAAAGCATTTCACAAGTCTGCTATTCATCTCCCAACCCAGCCTTTTCATCGCGAAATTTGCACAATTTACGGGGACAAACGCCGCTGATTTTGTATTCAGCGGCGCTGAGCCGAGTGGTAAACTTTGACTATTGAATTAAAAGGGGAAAATAGAAAAGGGGGATTGGGGAGTTGTGTGTGAGGAAAATTGAATAAAATACATTGAGCGAACGTGCTTGACAAGTTGGGTTCGTTTGTTCACTGGGATGAACTGACCAATCGGGGCACGTTGCAGTGTGTTTATGGCGGATTGAGGGTACAGTGACAGCTGGAGAGGGCCTCCCCGCGGGCTGATGCGAAGCCAGTCGGCAGCAGAGTCAGTATACGATTGTAAACCCTCGCAGAGAGCACGCGTTGTAGCATTCCAAGTATGCCATGCTAACTCGCTCGCTCCCTGACATCGGTGCCATTTCCCCATCACATTAATCATAATCGCAGGGAGCGCGTCGCTGAAGTGGGAGACCGATTCTAAGCAGGAATCAAACCGTTCACGCACTGCACATCATCGTTTCTGACGTGGACAATATATTGGGATTATATACCACGCCGAGAATTTATACCCACGTTTTAGAAGAGAGACGGGAGGAAAAGAATTATAGGAGGCAGTTCGCTCCCTCGCACATCTGATTATCATACACACTCGGTAGCCATTCATCGCTCTGACTAGGTTTTCGATGGGTGAAACATACGCCGCGCTACCCGCGTAGGCTATCAAGTCACGTCCGCTGGTATCTATAACACTATAGCCAGGTTAGGATGTAGATGAGCTGGGTCGGTCAGTGGCTGTCGACTCCTTTTCACCAACCATTTCAACGACGTCCTAAGTGCCATAAACTACGACATCTTTCAAGTATGACTTATCCAAGACTATGTTCGTCCATTTTTCTCACTCCAGAGCAACTCGCCTAGCGGATACTTGTGCTACGGCCAGTACGCCAGCTGCACATACATGGAAGGGAATGGGGAGGCGCAGAACCGCTATTTGCAGTACGTCGATTCTGCAGTCTGCTTCGCTGGCAGCTCTCCTACTCCAGATTGCCATCTTTACAGCTCTCATCTCAAAAGGTAGGTTTCTCAAATTGTTTATCTGATTGTATCAATAATGTGTGTGAGCAAGAGCGTCAGTTGTCATGATTGTGCATAACTATGTTATTCAGGATGTTTACACTGACTTATAGCTACAAACAGTACAGTATTATTATATTACAAATATACACAAGACAATGTTGATTACAAAGCGTAGATGTTCAAGGGGTTAAACAGAATTTGTCAATATTGAACTGAATTGTAAGTTAAATTATATCTTTATCAATGTCCTGGTGTTAGTGACTTTCACAACGCGTCAGTGCATTGTTATGTGTTATTTGTTGTGCAACAGCAATTCGATGTTCACAGCTCTACCAACATAATTTCAATTGAATTGTCTCAATCGTTCGTTAAAGACAGGAGACGAAATGTGTATTAATTGTAACATTTGGGCTCTGCAGTGTATAATCAACTGATCTTTGACGACAAGTATAAACCCAACATCAAATCATTTAAGTAAAATGTGTACTATCCTCACATTATCATTACAGAAAAAGGGACTTGCAGTCCTTGAAAGCATATGCAGTTTATCAGTTTAATACATGTGCCCCTATAATTTATTTGTAATTTGTCACATTCTGCCTCTATAATAAATAATTTGGAATCTTGGAATTTGCCACACATTAAAACAAACCTCTGTTTATTGCATTGCCATCCGTATCAATCATGTATTACACCAATATATCATTTTCCAGTTGAATATCGAGATACTACCCTTTCACCCAATTTCGTCATGGGGAGAGCAGACCGTTTGTTTGGTTCTTTCCTCTTGCTTTCCTCCATAAATAATTGTGCCAGAGACTTTTGAAAAATTCCTTCCAAGGTTTATGAACCCAGGTTTAGTGAGTGTTACCTCTTTTTTGGCACTTTTCAATTTGTTTTAGAAGCAGGAGAATGGAGACAAATACAGTTCATGTATGGGTTATGTTTCTGTCCACTTTCCTGCAGGGTGGGATAACTAATAGAAATCTCCTTGGCCATGTCAATGTTTGAATTGGTATATTCGTCTTGATCATGCCTCGCAACAATGCCAAAAAGTAAAGTCAATACAAGAAGAGAGGCTGAGAATTAAAGATAAATTTGCCCCAAACAGATATGTGTTTGCGAAGAGTACACAATCATGACGAGTTTTTGTGCCTTTCAGGTTAAATTTGCTGCCAACGCCTTTTCAGTTTGCCCCAATTCATACCAGTGTGCCTTTGTTCACAATTCTATGCGAGATCTTTTTTCCACCTTATACTTTTATCAAATAAATCATCTAAGTTTTACTTTCCCGTTAATGTAACAGTTAATGCTTTTGTGTTCCACTCAAAAGTGTAGAGTTCTAGAAAATATATGAATTTGTAATCGTACGCATAGTAAATGGTGTGTATATCCTCTAATGCAATAAAACGATGATTCTATTATTATTTAACCCTCGGATATGCAGCCACAACAATAATCTTCAAACCTCATCTATTCAATTTACTGAAGTTCCTTCCTTTACTCGTTTTTTATTCGCTGTTATTATATTCCATTGTATGCTTGGCTGAATTTATGAATTGAACGGCCCGTTGTGCTATCAAAATTTTGCGATTATCCTAGTTGATTGGGGTTTTGGTGGGAACAATAGATCCCTCTTGTGTGGAGGGAGCCTGGGTAATAGGTCCAATTGTTACCGTTCTAGTGGCTTTTGACGCAGTACATTGCCGAGTAATAATTATCAAGGACGCTCTGGCTTTGTATTGCTGTTTTCCAGACTGGCAAGCTTATATTGTTATTGGGTACACTGGAAATTCCTACTCCACGAAATGAGAATTAACATCACTGTCTTGTTAAACTTGATGTTTTTATTGGACAAGTAGGGAATAAATTGTGTGTGATATAACGAAGCTTCAAGTTCGCACTTTGCTCTCCATAAATAAATTCATTCCCTGATTGTTCTTTAGCCATTCATCCACTTTGGCATTCCGGCGATGGCTCATTTCCAAAATATATTAAAACGAATTACATACATTCAATTCACAAATTTTACAGCCCCGCAAATTGTGAAGTAATTGATTTAACTCATATCGCTCTCGTTAGCTCCTTCAATTGAAATGTAACGCCATGATCAGAGCGGTTTCGACTGGCGCAATCAAATGGCATTTGGGTTTGTTTGTCAAAACTGCAAGGTTACAATTATCCCATTTCACAGGTTTACAAGGACCTTTCATTTGTTGATCAAATAGAGTGATAGGGATATCGTGTTTGCTTTTGAACCTTTGATTCAGCACAACTTATAATTCCTTCTCTCTCTCTCTCCGCTCGGACCGGAGATATGTAGATATTGTATTAGGTTACCATAACATAGTTGGTTGTGAATTGGTAGGTATATAGCCGCATATATCCACCGTGCTACGGCAAGGTTATGCAAACTGTTTAAGCCCTTCGTGTATTCCCGTTTCCTTTCAGAACATGACCATGGCCTGGGATGTTGTACAAAGAAGTTCATGTTTTGACAAAGTACTCGCTGTATGACTTCCAAAATCATTGAGCTGCACTTGAAATGTACAGTCCGTTTAACTGTGCAGTCAAAATATCTAGCTCGAGAATTTTAACATAAAACAAAAATGTAATCTTCTCGATATTCTCGCCACAATGTACATTTATTATAAAATAGGCCTACGTGCTATTTATCATAACAAAATGTGTTTCTGTAGTACTTTGATATTAGTGAACTTGACACGGCCACTGAATAATACATGACTCAAGTATATTTTGAACATGCCAATCATCACAAATTAAGGGGTCGGCTACTTACTTGCTGGTCACTCAGCTAATGGGGCCCTTTAATTCTCTCACTCCATGCACGGACTTGGCCACGACGCAGCAGTTTACGAGCTGCCAAGCACGATGTAAATACGGCAGGCCGAGCCAAGGCTAAGCTCATATAAATTCGCTCTAGCCTCTCTACTGATGTCCAGTCATCCAGGGCATCCATCAAATATTGAGAGGCAGGAGTAGCAGTTCTTAGGGTCACTTGTGCCTCCTGTCCCGATTCCATCAAGGCCTCCTAAATTACTCCTCATCCGTCATCTTAATGTCCATTACAAAAGAAGAAAATAAAACGTGGATGTAGGCGATGCCCCCCTCCCCCTCCCCCTCCCCCTACCCCCTCCCCCTACCCCCTCCCCAAATGCGCACCTCACAAATCAATCGCTCTTGCCAACACCTACACATTATCAATACTGGTACCTTATTTTATGACAACTTTTCCATTAGGCCTTTGTAAAAATGTATTTCCTTCAAAACTAATGGGTATACAACTCTTGGAAGCCTGCAATTGGCAAGATTTTGATGTATAAAATACAGTTATCGTCACAGAATAATATTGACCTATAATGGTTGAATTCGTGGACGGCTATTTACGTAAGTAACTATGAACGTTTACATTTTAAACAATTAAAACAAAAATGAGGAGATGTTTTCCCAACTACCATCATATATGGCGTTAACTTATTAATACCTCTTGCCAATTATCATGAAATGAATGTGAAAATTGGTCTTGGTAGTGAGACTAGTGCCGCCTCTTTCGCGCGCAAATAGACGCGATTTCGAACTGCATCTGACACAGGCAAAACAGCAATGGAAGTACTATATGGGACATTTTATTTCAGAAATAACCTTTCCAATTGGGCTTCGCATGTAGCCATATTTACAAAGGTCAAGAGTCAAGAGAAGTGTCAGGTTAGATGATTTCAGATGTCTAGTCGAACAGTTTCAAAGTTCAAAACACTCTGTGTTGTACTCCTTGGAATTGCGAAACCACGTGTGTACTAATTCATAAGTACACCACCCTGTATAATTATTTTCTAGTATGAAATAAGCCTTATAGTGCAGGTATTGCAAAAGTATATGGACATGCAACATCAGAACCAACTCTCCTCCCAGCCCTCTGCCTCTTCGCGTTATGTTAAGATCAAGCAGTTACTTGTAAAAAAAGGTTACAATTAATTTAGAGAATTATATACAATTCATCTTGATGATCCTATTCACACCTTCGATAAGTTGATACTTGATGGGTTGCAGCCGTGCAGGGTATCAACTATCAAGAAAAGTATCTGTCACTGAACCACCGCGGAAACCAGAAGGTGGTCTCGGTGATAAAGATTCTGTGGAAAAAGAGAACTTTTTGGGGTGTATGGTGATGATATACTCCTGAAAGGTGACCCTGATAAACGACCCATTCTCCTTCAACTTCAGTTTATCATTTTCCTTTCGGACCTGTCTCTCCCTTTCATTTTGTAAATTGGTGCTAATATTACATAAATGTGTCACTATTGCTTGATGGCTTATTTTGTTTTCTTCCTTCCTGTTTGTTTTTGCAGTGTATTCAGCTTGTGATATCCTGTGGTGTTCATACCAGTACGAGGCAGACACAGATCCATTGGATCCAGGACCTTATCCAGACTTTTGCCGTGCCTTGCAGAGGTACCAGCGCTGCGTGGACAGAATATCACCGGGGTCGTGTCGGGGCGATCTCCACTACCATTCCACAAAGACAGTTATCCCCGACTTGCAAAGGAATTACGAATGTGAACGAGTGCTTCGAGAAGAGAACAACCCAGGCCCGACCAGGGCTGTGGAAACGACGACGAGGCCGTCACGTAACGGCGGTGACAACGACAGTGATTCGCCAGGGACAAACGGTCGTCCACCTTTCTTCCCGGATATTCTCTCGGACGCTCCTGAGACAGGAGGTTCGCAAAGGTGTCAGTACACAGGGTCCAGGAGCTTCAGACATTGCGGACTCTTTGGAGACCCACATTTGAGAACGTTTGACGATTTGTTCCAGACGTGTAAAGTGGCCGGTGCTTGGCCATTGATTTACAACGACTACCTGACTGCTCAGGTTACAAACGTGCCCTTGGTTCATGGTTCCGGTGCCACAGCTACAAACAAGGTTGGTATTTTGCTGTTCATTTCTTGTAACATCAGTGATTTGTTTTTACCGTCAAAATGCATTGGCCTGTAAATTTCTAGAAATTTAGTGAGGACGTTGTTAACATAATTACAGAAATACCAGAACAATGGAAGTGTGAAATTGATAATGTTTTGTTAAAGTGTCAGTCACTTTTCTCTTTAGTTTTGACAATACTGGGTATTTTTCCTTTCTTTGGATCACGTTTCAGCGAAATCTAGTAAATTGTTATCATACTATTTTTTTCATTATGCATGTTCTATGATGCAAATTAACACGAAATTTCTCGTTATGAAAATCATTTGATTTACCGCTACAATCTGTAATGTGTAATATGAAGATAATAAAGCAATGGACTGGGCGATTCGGGGGATGCTGCCTGTCATATTGAGAGCATATTCAGTGCATCTCTTCGTACATGGAGCTCTAAATCTTGGTCGCCCTTCTCTTGACAAACAAGCTCTTCAACAGTTCACACAGGTTTTAGTTTGCATGTGCTTGTGTGTTTTGCAACAAAGCTATCGCGGGAGATCTATTTGTTTTCCATTAACGCGAACAGAGCCTCGTACGCAGAGAACAAAAACAAATAAAGGTCCGTTGTAAACAGTACATTGTAAATGTTCTTCAGAGACCAACTGTCAATATATTTATGGCAAGAGATTCTTAGAAGGAATGGCTCTGGTGAGCAAAACAAGTAGTGTTATCCTTGTAAATTATGAAACAGGCTCGATTGTCATGATGCATTACTTTGCGTCAATACACTTTCCAACTTTGAAAGCTCATGTTCATGAAGTGGCTGTGGAGCTTTCATTCATGTCCTTCATGTTGACATAAAATCCGACTCATCATCACCATTCCCGATGTCAGCTGATGAGTGATAATGGTTGATCATGACCTTCTCCAAACATTAGTCATTTTCATTGTTATGATTACCTTTTTCTTTGTGTAAGTTGGTTTCTGCCATTTCTAACCCAGGGCATTCGTGTCCAGAAGGAGGTTATAGAGCTGTACGGGTGGATTCAAGGACCTGCCAAGTTTCTTCTTTGTGATCGATTTTCAAGAATTTGTTAAAGCGGATAATCGTGTATCCGTTATAATACCATTTCGTGTACTGTTACCTGGTTGTGCTTTGGATTACTACCTGGTTATTACCATACGCTCATAATTTGAGCGGCATTTCTTTTCTTTCAATTGAAACGTCAGGAAGTGCCAATGGTGCACTCCCAAATCCCCATCATTTCTTTCTCTGACACGTCCAACAAAAATGTTATGCTATTAGTTCTGGTCTACTCGCCGTGGTGGTTTTAACCTTCCTCTTTTACTTCTTTTCTTTCCACTGGACAAATAACTCCCACCGTCTTGGGTACACACGGTAAACCTGGCGAGCCATTCTCCACGGCTAAAGCCTTTCCGAAGGTTTCTTCTGCTTGGGGTTTCCATTGTGAGATTTGTGTGCAAATTTCGGTGTGCTTCACTTACGCTCGGCTGCTCCTCAAAGCAGTACAGTCCCGGCGGGGGCAATCCTGATGTCGCCTTACCCGTTTGTATTAGCTTGCCTTGAATACGGGCATAGATACGGGGCAGCTGTTTACTTGCGAGCCGTTCTTTCACCGTGTTCCCCTTCTCTTTTTATTCAGCCAAAGAAACTCACAAGAACCCCCGATGGCTGACCTACAAAGAGGTTCCCAATGAATTCAGAAATTCTTCCCCATTTTACTGATCCATATCTGTGACATCTTTTATTCACTACTGGGTCAATCTTAAGTTCATATTCGAGCTCCATTGTTGGGGAAACACACTGGTTGTCTGTGTTGAAATCTTGCATTGCATATCTTGGCTCGGTTTTCCATTCATTCCATTGATGTATAGTGTAACCTCTTAGGCATTTTGTGGTGTTGATAAAATAGATTAAAAGTTAAGTTTCATTATACACGTTATTTTTGTAGTGGATTATATTTGGCCTATATTGCAGCAGAGTTGTTAAAATACATTCATATTAAGGCATTTATGTTTAGATTGAAGGATAAATACCAGGCTAGTAGGGTCCCTCGTAGGAAAACGGACCACGTAGATCGTGGGGAATATTACTTTTGTCATTTTAAATGCCCCGCTACTATTGTAACACTATTATTCATTTAACATTTTGCAGAATTGCAGAACATTTGCAGAATATCTGCAGAATAATTTAATGCACAATCCTTTTTCATAAGGAACGTTACTTCCCCTATACATATTGGCATACTTTTTTCATTTTGAAATTAAATCATAATGTAATCAAGTACGATAGCGAGATGATATAAATTATTGCGATGTTTTAAACAATTGCCTCCGAGGCATACTTCTGTTTTTGCTCGATCATTTCGCCTTCCTCCGGCTCTTTAATTTGATACCGATGCCCTCACCACAGTACATAAAGCCATCATCGCACTCGGGCCGATACATTAGGCGAGTAAATCAATAAATGCCCATCATTATAAAACCATTTGTAATCGAAGTTCACTTAGTCTCAGGCAAAGGGAATTCGATTTGTTGGATGTGCTAAAACGGAGTGTTGTTACCTCATGATTGTATGTGGATGGGGTGGAGGCGATCGATTTGTCAACCCTGGACCAGACACATAAATGATGAATGACGGACAGCCTTCAAGCACAATGAGTGGAAGTTGGCGTTTAGGATTATGTGTCGAGTGATTATTGTCATTGTGTGGCCAGAGACAAGACCCTGGCGTGGCCACTCTGCACATGTGCAGTTTTGTAGGAAATCAGCATTTCTTTTATAATTATGATCCCATCTGCAAAACCTTTTTACGACTTCAGTTTTGTTTTTCGTTTAACTCTTTGTTTATATTGTCATTGCGATTAGCTTCATCCTTTCGAAATCAGCCATTTTCGTTATGTAACGATACGAATTATTTCATTAACCTGTTTACGAATAATTGTATTTAAACAGTCAGAATGCAAATTGCTTATTATTTATGTGTTAGGTAGGGCAAGCCATGATGCTTGTACTACGTAGCAACAATTGATTTATGAAATCATACGTATCGAGGCGCTTCTCAAAGGCATGCATATTGAAATGCCCTTGTTGTGAAGATGTGTATGCTACTACAAGAACTCGTCAACTGATCCTGGCCAGCTTTTGGGAAGAAATTCTTGGACCACACCGCGTCATTTTGCCTCGTAACTCTATCTTCTCCATCCCCTCTCCCGTCGGATAGTTTATTTACACAGCCAGGAAATCAAACCATGCCTGCCTCTCTAGCTTAGAAAAATGATGATGCCAATTTTGCAGAGCATGCAAGCTGCATATCGAGCTCACGTCCAATGCACATTCGAAAGCTAAACTCCTGCGGAGACAGATTTTATCTTGTAATAAATATCTTTGAAGCACAGAAAAATCCTTAATGGAGGAATCACAAATAATATTCCAAAAGAATCCTATCCTCTTGTGCAGAATCGAAGCAATGTATTTCAGGCTTCAGTCAAATAACTGTTGATAAGATATCTATTTGTAAAATGGAAGGTTTCCAGAAATTGTTGGAATGTTGGCCTTTTACTGCCACACCAGTTCCACACTTCGCTTATTAGTACATCGGGATACTATTTTTCTGAAATTCAAAATCGACTTCATGTATAAAATGGAAAGGAAGCCCAGTTTCTTTACCCCAAACCACCCACAGTCTATAGACCTACCGGTTACGAATCATATCTGACCAGGACCTTTTTACTGCCCGCTCCGATGGAAACCAAAAACAGACGGAAGGGTGGTAAAATGAGAAGTGGACGTCGTTAAAAACCAACATGACGACCTCGACATGTCAACATAGCCCAAAGCTTGTAAAATTCCAATCGGCCGGAGCATGATTCGGGTCATGACCCCTAGGCTTTAAAGGGAATGGGGAGTTCAGGTGAAGCTGAACATTTGTACGGTTTTATTGCTATGTGTACAGAAGGTCATATCAGCAATATTTCATGTAGGGGATTACTTTTGAAGTGGTACAACTTTAGAAAAAGTTTAAATTATTGGATCGTGTAGTTTCTTGCACCATGGACCATGCTTGATCACTATATGAGTGGTGTGTGTGTGTTGTGTAGTCCCGGGTACTCATATCGGTGTGCAGCGCTCCTTCATGTGGTTTTCAGCAGGATTTGGGTCAATTTCTCACGATTGTGATGATTCCATCACCTTACAAGATAGAAATGTTCCGGTTTCTACACAATCATCCTTTCGGAGTCACTTGTCAGAACTTAACATTATCTTTAAAGGTTAAGAAGACAGGTCTCGAGGCAAAATGGATATCATCCACAATACACGAGATGACTTCATAGTCATACAGTACATATACCTTCCAGTGCCCATCGCAATGTTTCGTAAATTTATGAGGAGCCATTTTAATTTGTAGTTTTATCATTTTGTACTTATTTGTGCTCCAATCAAGTATCCTCCTTGAAATTCCTTTAAAATGATCTCCCATTTCCGGATCTATAATCTGTATAAATAATTGATATTCTGATGGAGTTATACAAAATAAAATGGTGAAATACAGTGCCTAAATCATCCAAATGCAGATCCTTTGACCCCCCCCTCCCCTTTAATACGTAAGTCCGAAGTAGGATTATAATCTGGACATGGAATAATGACTGGTCAGTTCCCATAAATTTTACGATTTATTGAAACTGTAACGGGAGTAAATTATTATGCCCTTGGCAATAAAATAGTAAGAGGATTGTCCTTTTTATAATGCCAACCTTGTCATACACTTGTTATACAGCACTGCCAAGGCTTCGTCTCCTCTCTTCATTCTGGTAATAATCAATTCAACTGACTTGTTATGGCTTGAGTAATCCACTGAAATTCACCCAACAGATCCATCATACGCCCCTGGTCTTCTCACTGTCTTTGCGTCATCATAATTCGGGAATATTTGGAGAGAAAACAATAATGCAGTCCCTCTAACCGGAGTTTCTCAATCGAGAAGGCAT